TCTCTCTCTCTCTCTCTGTCTCTCTCTCTCTCTCTCTCTCTCTCTCTCTCTCTCTCTCTCTCTCTCTCTCTCTCTCTCTCTCTCTATCCCTCCACCCCTCTTTCTTTCTCTTTGGTATGAAAGTCTTTTTCTCTTTCTCTTTGGAGGAAGTTTTTTTTTAGAAATTTTAGAGTAGGAAAAAAAATCTCCCTTTTTCTTAGGGCTGGTGAGGATTTTGAGTGCAATGCTTTGGGTTAACATGTATTGCTTAGTCGCGGGTGACCTTGTGAGATCCGTTATTTTTAGGGTTACTCAGTACCACAAGTTTTATATCCCATGTTCACATACCCGTTATTTTTGCTGGTACTTAACGAACCATGGCTGAAGTTGCCTGTGACATATCAGCAGAAATGTGGACATGAAAAGCGCACTTACCATGTCAGCTCAGACAGCGAGTGCTTCCTCCCCCTAGAGACATATAATACAATAATACCAGAGAAGTGATTACAAATTCATGTCTAGTCTTTTATTCTGGTAGCACGTGGAGACGGCGGCGGTGCAACTTTTTACGCGCATCATATAATTCTTAATGCTCGTAATTCTAGTATAATGTAAGGGCTTAATGTGTAGCTGTCCCTGGTGCCTTGCGCTAGCTGGCGGAGGCTGGCGGAGGCTGGCGGCATCTCCTGCCCTCTGTCTGACGGTGCCTGACGCAGAAGGGGGTTAAAGGATTGGGAATTGATCCTTCTCTCGCTGGCTGTTTTTCCATAACAGTTCAATGTGTACTTTGCTGGGTAAAGGTAGTTAGCAGTCCCGCAAAGTGATTGTTTGCGGCGAAGACTCCACTTGCGCCCCCTCCTCCGAGGCTGTTGAAGAAATACAATGCAGTCGATGGGACAGGAGCTAGGGTGGTCAAAAGTCGAGCTTTAGCTTTGATTTTAGAAGTAGGAGATGAAAGGTGAGATAAAGGAGGTAAGAGGATCAGAGGGAGCGACGAAGATGGAAGAGTGTGAAAGGAGATAATGGGAGATACACGGAAGAGTGATGAGAAACCTGGCATGATTGTTTTTTTTTTCCTCTCTCTTCAAATAGTGTACGTAGATTTTAAGACTTGGAAGTATGAATTTTTTTTTTTTTTTTTTTTTTTTTTTTTTTTTTTTTTTTTTTTTTTTTGTAGGATACTGGTTGAATGTATAGCAGGAGGTCTCTGTCAGCTTCGTTTCTAAAAAAACTTGCAGGACTGTGGTGGACGATGCAACTTGCAGACGTCACGCTGTGATTTCATTTTCATTCTGAGTGTTGTTGCCACGTCGTTACGCTGTTCATGTTTCTCGCAGGTTCTCGACGAAGGAGTCAGCCACCCACGCCATCGTGTCTGTCCACAACAGTGAGATTAACGGTCAGCCCGTCAAGTGCTCGTGGGGCAAGGAGTCCGGCGACCCGAACAACACCCCCGTCACAACTCAGGTCATGGTAGGTCTAAATCCAGCTCGCCCTCCCTGAACACCGCTCTCTTAATAGCAGAAAATGTCGCTTTTTGATGATAGATTTCGTGGTTTATATTTTTTATTAAAAAAAAATAATCAACTTTGAGTAGATGTCAGTATCATCGAATAACTCCTTAGTGAAGTTTGAGACTATGTAAATATCTATACATATATTAGGACGTGTCAGGGAGAAAAACCGTATAGATCAGTATAACCTGTTTTATAGTAGTCGTAGCCGTAGCAGTAACGCTGCGTTATGTAGACGTAGTCCCTGACACGTCACTGTGTTGGCCTACGAGCGAGCTGGCTCTCTCCCGGCGCCTCATATGTGGCATGTTGGCATTCAGGAAGGTTGCACGCCGCCCGGAGAGCCAGCTGGTCGTATGCGACACATGTGGACGTGTGCCTTGTGTCAGTGGCTCCCCTTCTGTGTGTTTCAGACGCTCACCGATGTGTCCGAATGCTTGTCTTTGCAGCCGCTGCCGGGGTCGCAGTACCCGTACAACTACGCCGGCCAGATGGGCTACTGGTACCCTCAGGGCTACCCAGCTCAGGTGCAGGGACAACAGTTCCTCGGCATGCAAGGATTCGCCTACGGACAGTATGGCTACCAGCAGGGGTAGGACTACAGGCCATGTCTCATTCTTTAGTCGCAGCCTGCCCGCGGCCCGTCAATCCTTCCTTCTCGTCTCTGGTGGCCTGCGTAGCTCTTCCCATGTAATGTGGTCATGATCTTAGCTTCAGACGAGGAATGCGTCCATGATAGCAGTCCCACGAGTGTAGTTTTATCATGACCACAGCCCCACTTGCCTTGGATGACCGTGACCCGTTACACATGCCCACATTCATCACACAATGCCTCCTCTCCCAAACCCGCCCCAACATGTGTAACTCGGTCACCACATGAGCACTACAGCTTGGTCATCACCACATTTCTCAGTCATTATTAGTCTGGTTATGGCCGCCGTAGAGCATGTGTAGTTTGAGTCGTCACCACATGGCACCTCGAGTGGCGCTGGGTGACTTTGCACAGGCCATCAGTCTTTCCTTGTCGGGAATAACGCAACCCTTTTCCTTGTCCTGAGACCCTATCTAGTCTGTTACGTTGAACTTCCATGGTGAGACACTGCCTGGTATGTCACAGTACCTACGAGTCATTTCTCTCTGCGTTCTCCTCCCTCCTCGTATCCCCTATATTCCTCTCCATTCTTCCCTCCACTTCCTTTTCTCTCTCTCTCTCTGTCTCCTTCCTCCCTCTCTCCCATCCTCCTTTCCGTTCTCTCTTCCTATCCTCTTTTCTATCCCCTCCCGTCCTTCCCTCCCTCCCTCCCTCCCTCCTCCCTCCTCCCTCCTCCCTCCTTCCTCTCCTTCCCCTGCCACGAACGTGACTCACCAAGCAATCTCTTTATAAAGCATGCAGTGTTCTCCATATGTCTCCCGAGTGTAACTTTGTCGTTAGTATTTTCCTAGAAACTGTTTGGTTATTCAGTGTTGTATTAACTGTATATTTCTAGCCTGAACTGTACCCTTTCTTCCCCTTCCCCCTCCCCCCACCCACTCCCCCTTCCACTCATGTACTTGGCATGCACCTATGTATCACATTGATTCGGTTCTCACAACATATCGAAGGAAATCTAGCGTACATATTTAGGAAGTGTTTAGAACACCCGTTTCGCAGAACTTGGATTTTTTAGAATACTATTTCAGGTCCTGTTGGCTATATGTTGTGTGTTGCAGTTGTATGGATTTTTGTTGAACTTTTTGCAAGCATGTTGTAATATTTCCTATTTATATCTTGTATTTTATTGTGACTACCTAATGTGTATGTACTTTCGATTTTTTTTCCGTTTTCAAAGGACACGGATGATTTTTCTTGAGGAAGGTGTTTGCTGTGTGGTAGTTAATGTACACAATTTAAAATTAGTATATAGTAATAAGGCGAAAAAGAAGTCATTTTCCTGTTCGTACTTTTAACCTGATATTTTAGAACCATGGTAAGTCGTATCGTGCTGATATCTTTTATGGAGACCCAAATTGTTACGCGAGTCTCCCCTGCCAAACCATTTATTTCACTGTCACCCTAAAATCCAGATCTCCAGTGATTCAATCTCATTTCAAATCCAAGCTCTCCCTCCATTATTTATTCTGCTTGACTCCCTTATCGAACCAGAAGTCCCCTGCTCCCAGCGGATGGGCGGCCTGCCTGCTGGAACACCCTTCGCCCTCTCTACACTCTCTGCCTCCCTTCCACCGCGTTCGCCGCCCTCGCCCGCCTTTTCTAACACCCCCCCCCCCCCCCCCGCCCACGCCCGCCCACGCCACGGGTTCAAGAGGGAAAACCGCTGTGTCTCGTACTCAGCGCCGTCTTTCTCCAGGACCCAAGCTGGCCCTGGACGCGCTTTGTCCCTACCCAAGGACCTATTCGTATGGGCCAACCTCGCACGCTGATTGGTCGATGCGCGATGCGGACAGCCGCCCAACAGCCAATCAGAGGAGACCGTCCAACATGAAATTTGTAGAACGTGGGTCATTCGGTGGACACAAACGCGGCCCGGATGTGACCGCGCAGCCCCTAACGGGCCATCGTCGCCACGTTATGTGAGGGGGTGAGGGGCAGGTGGCCTCCCCCCCATCCCCGCCGTCCTCTTTTGCCTCCCCTTGACTCCCCTCGACGCTACTCTGCACCTAATCCATGCTCTCCGCGGCACCCCTCTTCCCTCCTTCTCAGCGCGAAGCTAAAAATAGCTCTGGAACATCTGAAATATATGGGTTCGCGTGAAACTCGACACGTTCAATCTTCCGATACACGTATATACGCGTATGCGTACATATACATATACTCGAACACGCGCACATACACGCACACGCGCGCGCACACACTCACACACACTCACACACACACACACTCACACACACACACACTCACACACACACACACTCACACACACACACACACACACACACACACACACACACACACACACACACACACACACACACACACACACACACACACACAAACTCACACTCACAAACTCACACTCACACCACACACACCACACACACCACACACACCACACACACCACACACACCACACACACCACACACACCACACACACCACACACACCACACACACCACACACACCACACACACCACACACACCACACACACCACACACACCACACACACACACACACACACACACACACACACACACACACACACACACACACACACACACACACACACACACACACACACACACACACACACAGGCACGCACACGCACACATATATATTCATATACATATATATATATATATATATATATATATATATATATATATATATATATATACACATATATATACATATATATACATATATATATATATACATATATATATATATATATATATATATACACATATATATACATATATATACATATATATATATATACATATATATATATATATATATATATATATATATATATATATATATATATATATATATATACACATATGTATATACACATATGTATATACACACACATATATATATATATATATATATATATATATATATATATATATATATATATATATATATATATATATTTATACTTACATACATACATATATATAGCATCGCGGTTCTAGATTTTCACTCACCCCGACTGATCTCTTTTCCCCCAAATAATCTCGTTTTCCCCTGCTTTCTCCCGGTTTGTATTCGAATCCCAAGCAAAGACGTTCGGGCGCAGACGACCCCTTTTCTGCCAAACAAAAGACAGTCTGGTCATAAACGGCTTGTAAATTGATCGCCGACTTATTGAAATGACTTGTGTTTTACCTTTCGGCTTCTTGGAACGGTTGTTATTGGTAATTACAGGTGTGTTGTGTGCATGATTAAGGCATGACGTGTTTAGTGTAGGCGTTAGATGACAATATAAGGTAAAACACTTGCAATGTTTATGTGTTATTTTCTCTACAATTTCCGTCTTTTTTGTGCGTTTTACAGTGGAAGGTAAGTTGGTATGGATACGATGAACCGACAGCGGTAAAAGGATGTAGTTATTGTTATTACCAAACGTATCCTATTTTGATTTTCTGAAAGCCCGCGGTCGGCCTAGGACAAAAGCCATATATCTCGTCCATCTGACAATACTTTGTCTCGCGTGGCGGGGGATTTTTCAAAATTGGCTATATTTCTTGCCGCCGCGAACGTGTTGCGTCATACGGCACGCTGGGAATTAAAAGATAGTTTACACTGTTATTTCGTTTATATATTTTTTCTCTTTGATTTATTATTATTATTATATATATTTTTTTTTTACTCGACCTTCATTCCCTGCCGTTGACAATGGGTGATTAGTTTTCTTTCCCGATTGGGTTCATGTAATTTCCGACTTAGCTTAGAGGATTCGACCGCCGGGATGGCTTTGGGCAAGACAGGTACAGCCTAAAACCCGCGGGATTTTCCCTTCCGGAGGGCAACAAGTGAAAGAAAGCTTGGTTTATTCGCGGTCATGATCGCTGTAAAGGAGGGCGGGAGAGGCCCCCGAGCCGGCGAGAGCAATCGTAAAGGAAGGTAACACGTCACTCAGACGCTGTTCCGCCCCTAATTCCGTCATCACGCCCGTGTTTTGCGGCGGAGAGGCCGTTCTGACTCTCCTTTGTGAGCGCCTTATGGGTCTGGCGGAGCCGTGTTGCTCTCCCGAGTGATGAGGGTGTGGAGGCCGCGTGTGATGGCGAGCGGCGACGCCCGCGCTCCGAAACAACCCGATGTGTGTGGTGGGGAAGCAGGTCGCGCCGCCACGTGACAGTGACCATGTAACAACAATGACGCCCGTTGCAGGATCGCGGGCATGGCTGGAGTCCCCACCTGGCAAGGCGTCCCGCAGCCACAGCTTCCCACCGGCCAGATGGCTCAGCTGCAGCAGCCGGCATCTATGGTGGGCGCCTACCCCGTGCAACAATTCCAGGTACGTGCGGGCACCGGTGGGCGTGACAGGGAGGCGTCGCTCACCAGCCGGCCCGCCCGTGTGCTCGGCTGGTGACCGCGCCCTCCGCCACGTTCTGCCCTCGCCATTCCTTCTTAGTCCGTTGCCTTAATGTTTCTTCTTGTCTTAGTGCGCGCTCATAAGATACCAGTTACATGTTCCTTAAAATAAAATCAAAACATTTATCGTTTCACACTTTTTTTTTTCTTTTTTTCTATCCCATTCTAACATTCATTACGAATGAACAATACAGCAGAAATATCAGTCAGTACATTAGAATCTTCTCAGATATTTTTTCCTATGTTCCCCCTTTTAATACCCGTAGCTGTTTACCGCCAACACACAAAGCCCAACTCCGGTAATCTACACTTCTAAGTCAGTCACGTTGCCCTGTCATTCACCGAGCCAGGAAGACTTCAGTCCCACACGCAGACACAGTCATTTTAGTCTCCCCCCCCCCTCCCTAAGTTGTTTTCTCTAGTTTACATAACATTAAAGATTCTCATCTCGGTACCAGAGACTGCATGGCCAGTGCGCTCACTTAGAATCTTCTTTACCTGATACAAACTTGCATGCTGTAATACATGGATTTTTACGTACGTGGCAAGATATACCATAACACCACTTATCATGTGACTCGCTTACATTCCAAGTTCAGTATTTACACTTATCTTATATTTATTTAGATTTCTCAGCTTTTTTAATACTGCATGTTAGAGACGATGAAGAGTGTGTGATTCAGTCTAGACGTTGCACCATTCGTTATTTCATTAGGAATGTTACATGCTATAGTTCTATGAAATGTATGATCAAACAGTACTGTCTTGAAGACGTGACAACAGTTCTCCTTCGTGGGAACAATGGACGCATTTTTTTACACAAAGAATATGGGATTTCTTTTCACACTGGAGAGGAAAAGTCATGTTCATATTTATTTTTGTATTAGAAAGGAAAGAGTCCTAATGAAGACATGTAAATCCGCACCCGTCTGGCGTTTCCACGAGCGAGACGCAATTCCCCGAG